ATCACATTTTCAAAGTTCGGATTAAGAAAGAGTATATCGTGTTTACATACATTTAAATGGTCAAAAGGGTCCAATAAATATTCCTTTCCATAAATCCATGATTATATGAGAAAAATTTCATGTCAAAGACATAAATAATGAGTTTTTCCTCATTCGAAGCAAAGCAGACAGCATTTGCCATGATTTTTCCGATTAATACAAAAATGGATTACATGTAATGTTTCACAAGCGGAATACAAACAAACTCTGTATCATTTCGTTTCGTTTGAAATCCCCCCTGATATTTTGTATTAATCCAGAAGCCATGTTTTAAATGTAGGTCAGAGATGTGCTACAACGACATGGACATGTATTTTGAGTGTTCTATTCCGTAATATACTATATATTTGTGTCTGTGACATATATATGAGATCTATATTATATAAACCTTGAGTAGACATCGTTGTCATGAACTGTTAACCACTTATGTGAGTTTTTCAAGCCGATTTTGTTCCGCCCGGATTTCGGGCGGAAACTGCATCAAAGAATTAGTGCTTCGGAAATGAGAGGTCGCAGTCGGCAAAATCATATCCGATTGAAAAAAGGCCGACCAGCGGCCTCTCATGTTATGGGAGTAGACAATAGCACAAGTTATAACTTATAGTCACTTCATCATGACAATAGCACAAGTTACAACTTATAGTCACTTCATCAAGACAATAGCACAAGTTACAACTTATTGTCACTTCATCAAGACAATAGCACAAGTTACAACTCTATCTCTCTAGATTTTACAAGGAATATGAGAGGACACCTGCTTGTTAAGGAGAATTTGTGACAGGCTGGTAAAACAAACAAAAATGGGGGGAAAAATCATGATATTAATAGAACCCTCTTTCATAATCTTATTCATGACATTTTCTTTTGATTACAATCATCTTTCAAGAATACTGTCAGAACTGGATAAAATTTTATTCTGAAGCAATGCAATGTATTTCATACCTTTCTAACTATCATGTAGCGGATAAGTTCTCGAACCTCCACAGAGCTGGGTTGTAACAATATGGCTTTTCTGTACTGTTTCTCAGCATTCTCAAAGTCAGTCTGGTCTTCTAACCTGTGAAGCACATAGACACCAATGATAGTTTCTGGTTTTTCAGCACTTTACACTTCCCTCAGGATCAACCGTTATGTGGACACACTGAAGTATCACGGTTATAAAATGAGGATATGGATACAATTTGTTCAATCACTGAGTTCTATGAGGACATGTTTCAGTGACTGGTATCAGAGGTCAGTGACCTCCTGTTGTATGTGACATTCTAAAAATTCAAGATTTATCTGCATATCAAGTTATATTTAATTTGTTAACTGCAGGTGAAATATGCCAAAGACAAAATGTATGGATAGAATGATATATGGAACACAGAAGGCGGTATATGGAACACAGAAGACGGTATACGGAACACAGAAGACGGTATATGGAACACAGAAGACGGTATATGGAACACAGAAGACGGTATATGGAACACAGAAGACGGTATATGGACAAACAAAAAGGAAACATCAGAATCACATATGACATTACCTGGTTGGTTGGGGACAAATAATCATAATTTTGTTTATTCTTTGCATTTTATGAAATTTATATTTTGTCCAAAAAAGTATACAACTACAGGTAATTACAAAAAAAATCTCTGATATGGAAATATCTGAATGATTACGCTCAGTGTTTTCATATATATGAACTGGTTGCAAAATTGGAGAAACCCCCAGTAACATGACTAGGCTACCTAGCTCTAGTTGTTTTAGTTGTTTGTTGATGTCTACTTACACCTTGGCGAAGGCCAGCAGAGTTTCATACAGGTATTTCCTCGCGTTCTGATGCTGGTTATTAAATTTCAAAGCCAGCTCAAAGTCCTCGATGGCTAGGTTGTAACTTTCATTGTTGGCATACCTGCATAAAATGAGATAACATAACTTTGAGGATTCCATCCAACAAGAAAATTTTCTTCTGTATGGAAGTGAAACAAATTTACTAACAAATTAAAAACTATTCCATAAATTGATATACTTATCACCCAAAAAGTTTTTTCCTTGGGCACAATAAACAAATGATAAGGTATTTCAGACCACATCACCCATAACTAGATATAAGAGCTATCCTCCCCCACCCCCTGGACCTCCCATATATTCATATAAAGAATAGCCCTTAATGTATGCAATACTAAACTTTTGTTTATAAAACTTCTGTTGGGTTCCATGGAAACATCATGAATTGTCCCCGAGAACACTGGACTGTAAACAAATTACTCTATAGTGAACAAACTCCTTCGGTTCCCTTGGTTTAATTATGAATGTCTTTAAATGTATACTGAACAAAATCGCTATGAAAATTCAATGAAAATCCAATGAAAATCTCTATCAAAATGTTTTATTGTCAAGAACTAATTTGTTAGGTCTCCTGGGTTTTGTTAAACTTTTTTTAATATAAGAAAACTATTTTTGTTGTTCCTCTCAGGTTTCATATTATTGACATGTTTCACAGTGTAAATATTTAAGGTGAATTAAATAATATATTATTTCATGTGTCATAATTTGCAGAACGAATTCCACTCGACTCTATTTGTACTTACCACAAAGAGATGAGCTTTTGTATCAATGCTCTGTAAAAAAATAACGTCCAGGTAAATTCTTTAGTTCAACTTACAGCGCCCCACGAGCAACCAGTGCCTCCACATTTTTACTGTCTATCTGAAGAGCCTTGTTGAGGTACTGCATAGCTTCCACCTGCTTGCCAGCCTTGAACATGGACACACCATTAGCAACACTGAAAAACAAATTAATTTCCAAGTGTTAAAAGTATTCAAATCAAGATTAGAAATGTAAATATAAGGTGAATATAAACCAAAATTGACAGCACTTAATTGATTTCTTGTTGTTGCATCTTTCTTTTGAAGACCAGAACCGATTACCATACAGAAGTCACTAACTGATTCCTCAGAGCTTGTATACTCCAGCGGTAATTATCCAGAGGTCTCTTGATTAAGAAATGGGATCACTATTTTTGACATTAAGTCTGTTTTGTTCCCCCAATTATGCATATTTCAAACAAGATTCCACGCCAATTTCACACATGGCAAGTAAACGTACAGGAACAGACCCTCAGATGTAATTAAGGAACACAATATCCACAACACTTCTCTAGTGAACAAATCTACCCCCAGTTAAACTTACACCCAATAGTTATCCTGCAAAACAAAAGAATTTGCAAATGAATGGTTTTGGTAAATATTTCTCTAATGAAATGTCTCAAACAAAAATGAAATTGTAACTGACTGTAACACTCTCTGATTTGTATACAAAGGACTATCTCTTATGATAACTTACCTTTGATGTGCCCACTTTTGAGACTGATATTTCCTCAAACTTTCAGCATACTCCTTTTCTGGTATTGTTTTCCTAGAATAATAAAAGAATCTTCTGCTTAATGATTTAACACAGGACATTGCTAAGCGAGACATCCAGAATCAGGAATCTACCTTCCTGAACCTTGTACAGTGAATTCCACTTTAGCCTTGTCATTCATTGTCAATTTTCCCTCAATATCATGTTTTTATAAAATACTCTTTCTCTCTCTATATAAAGGTAATGCTATTGATTTAGATTTCTTTACATTATTAGATTTGTTATAAGTATATTTAGCATATTAAAAGTAGAAAATGTCTTGACATGCTCAAAGCTATAAAATAAAATAATTTGTTTCAACGAATTTCAATAATCAATGATAGCAAAGCATTATACGTTTTCTTTGTTGCTCCTCGAACCATCTGTAACTACTAACTTTATAAATAACCTAGACCTTATCTTTAAGTTAAATGTGATGGATGCCTAAATGACTACAAGCTACCTGTGAAGCCCACGCATGATGGAAGTGGAGTCGGACAGATGTAATAGCCCTAACAGACTCGACACATTGCCGGAATTGTTGAAGCCGAGAATGGAGTGTAGCAGCTCATCAAAAGCCAGTCCACGTATGTGTAACTTCCGTCTGAACAAAACGAAGAATAAATGAAATACACAACTGAAATAACAAACAAGTAAAAAAAATGGGCAGTTAATATCTCTTAATCTATTCCTGTAAAATTATTTACAAATAAAATGTCTTATATATCATTATTTTTCCATGGATCACATGGAAAGTGCATTTTTTTTCATTATTTCCAAAGAAATGTATTGCTGTTATGATCAATACAAAACATTAAATTAAATATGTTAATTTCTTACCTATAATGAACTGGAAAGTCGTCTTCATTGATCAAACCCTGTAAGATAGCGGGAAAGTACAGTCAATTATTGTTAAGTTCATTTGGCTAATACAATGAACAAACAGACTCCAAAAATCTTTTTTTCCAGTTGGGAACGGAGAGTGATATTAAAGGACATAGAGAGTTTGGGAGTTTCCCTAATTGTTATATATCTATCAGATTTATATCAGAATTATACTGAAGGTATCTTTATATTGATTTTTAATGTAGGAATTTTAAGAAGCCTGCAACACATTCCAAGGATCACATTTAAACTGTGCAGAAGAAGACCTGTTTAATTTAAGGACAGCATTCACTAAACAACCCATGCAGACACTAAAATTTCATCGAAATAGTACAAAACTGATGAACACAAGATAAATTTTTGAAAAATATTTCAGAAAACAAAAATAAAACAGTTGACATCTAATAATTTACGCATTTTTTACAGACAATTCTTCTAAATAGTTTTTCATATGAGTAATGCTATTATTTAAAATATGCATTGGTCATTTTACTGCTGGATTGACCAGTGAGACAAGACTGACCAACTTGATGTTGGACTGTTCCTCTGAAAGTGCCCGCTCCACCATGGAGATGATGATCCTCTCCGTTTCCTGGTTTACGTTCAGCACAACACCTGTCAAAGTCACATTGGTAGCAGTCAGTTCAAACGTTCATCCGCAATATTATCAATTCAAACTTAGTGATCAGTTCAGACCTCACAAATTGATCAGTTCAAACTCAAAACAGATCATAGCGATCAGTCCCAACTAACGTTCACATAGTGTTCAGTTCACAGCTACACTCACTTAGGGATCAGTTTACACTAATTCTAAAAATAATAAATTCCCAAAAATATTTGTTGGTAACACAAGCATACCACGATAGCGACTCAATTTCTGACCTTTGATCCTTCCTTCACCCCTGACCTTTGAGTGATACCTAGACACTGCATATCTTTGACCAACTTCGAATGACCTCTGACCTTACCTCTGACCTTGTCTTTGACCTGAAATCCTTCAAGCGGACTCTGGTTAGCAAACAGCCTAGGTAACTCCTTCACAGGACAGAAGGCCTGAAAATAATATAAAGAGCACTATCTTAAATATACTTGGCATACAAAAAGTTCTACAATATTTCTTGAACTTGTGCAGTTGGTTTATAATTGCATGTGAGCAAATTTTGTTTTCATTTTTAAAAATGATTAAATGGTTGTTTCTTTTAAGTCCTTTCCTGCTTTCTTACCGTAGTCTTCAGCTCGTCAATATCTCGGACCTTTCCACCGTCCATACACAACAAAGTGACCACAACACCACTGTCCATCACTGACGATACCACACCCACCACCAAGTCACGCTTCTCTAGACTCTGTCGGAAAACAATCAGTGATAGCATTATTGACTGGCAGATAGTGGTAGTGGACTGATCAGTTTTATAAACATGACATATCTAGGCTTATTATATGTAATCATTGCTTCGACATAGCTTTTCTACATACGTCGAGTTGTTGAGTGTCTATTCTACCATGTCATTACTAGCAGCACAGCTTATACAAAAGGCAATACTGTATACAGCTTTCAATTTGTGCAGAATTATTTTGGTGTTTTCATCTGAACATTTATTTTCATGCAGTATAGTGTTCATGAATGATGAATGATATTTTCACATAGTGAAAGGTTCCCACTTTTTATTGTATTCTTATAGTCAATAGTCATCCTTTATTGTATTCTTATAGTCAATAGTCATCCTTTGGTATTTGTTAATATATCTTGTCAAACGGTGAAACATTTCATTGTGTCTGTGTCAACATTTGAGCAGAAAAGAATGATTATAATGAGAAAGGAATACCATTTAATATGACTATAATCTTTTAAATTTAAAAGATTGGTTGTCAATAAAGCGAACAGTTTGATGTATTTTGTATGAACTGTTGGTCAGCTGTCTTATCCTGTACGTATGTTACAATAATAATAATAATATACAACATCAAGCCTGGAACTTGAAATTTTCACTGCATTGATTAATTTGTGGTTAAATCCTTCCGCAAAATGTGAGTAAATTGGTCCCAGTACTTACATTGAAGAAGTGCTCCCTACAATAATTTGGTGAAATGCCCATGAAAGATTCCAGGGGTGGCATCTTGGCAAATTTATCTGAAAAATATTTATGATGCATAATAAGTTACCATTCAACTTTTCCAACAATAATCACTTACACAGATGAAAGTCGAACTTGAAACACTTGACACAAAAGAGCTATTCATAACTGTACACCCTTTTTTGTGATAAAAGAAAAATCAGAAAAGCTGAACCAAAAAGGCAGTGTTTTTGTTCTTTTAAACAAATTAAACAACCTTCAACGCATACATTTGTTTCATAGAAATCTTTTTATGATAGCTATATTTATAAAGTCAATTACAAGTCAAAACTAGCTGTGAAAATAAAATTCTGCAAAGAAAATATGGAGAGTTGAGATCCTTTGCGCTATTTCAGTACTATGAAATCATGATGTTTTGTTAATGTAAAATGGTCATTTTCTTATGATCCATGATGAAGATCACTTACTTTTCAAGGATACTTATTTTGGCGATAATGCTTGAATCAAAATATTTGTAAGGATTTAACATTACGACAGGAACATTTTAGATCCTATCCACTGTTACAATAAATAAATGGGATATATAATTTGAGATACCATATTTACTCTAATTAACACCCCTCCTCGTTTTTGTTACTTATAGAAATGATACAGGAACCCACTTTCCTAATTATACCCTTCGTCATGGTCTGTTCCAGTTAATAAAATATATTATATACTCTTTACATATTGGACATTTCAGTCTCACAATCATGAGTGGTTTCAAAAGTTTAAAAAAAAAAACAATTTTCAAATTTCGTTTAAAATACATTAAACAGTTATGTCGCATTTAAACATAGTGTCTGCCAAAACTACTATCCCAACATGTACCCCTTCAGTCAATTTTACAAGGAACCTGGGTGGTAATTTGGGCGAATATGCCAGGTTATCATTACAATTTTCACCAAAATGTATATCCCCTAAAATCTAAGTGATTTCCAGTGAACCAACCCATGTCTGGGCCATTGATATTTTAATGATATGAGATAACCCACAGGAAAAAACCCTCTTACAGCAATATTTTCAAAATTTGCTTGTTTTTTATGGGGAATGAATATGCATCAATACCAAACATACCTAGAATCAGATGCTAATATCTAACAGCATCAAGCTGATTTGCATACTTGGCACAACTTTGATTACATTGACATCCTTTAGACTGAAAACACCATGCTATAAGAAAAGAAATTTGAGATGTTGACCAGATACGATCTTCTTGGTCTCCAGATTTTTTTGTGGTCTTCTTTGTGTCAGTAATGGTTTTGAAGATTTTAAATTCCACGTGACTCTTCAACAAATGGCTGTACATGATCCACTGCTGTCCACAGGTAATTACTGGAATTCCTCTTCATCAACTCTTTCATCTGAACTCAGCATTGCCACATTAATTAGATTTGTTGACACTGCTTGTTTGGAAGTCCAATACTTGTTGCCTTCAAAATGCTTTTGAGTCATAAATTGCAACATCTTATAATAGCTGATCCTCGTACAGAACATCATCTACGGGTGATTACATGGAGTAATTCTTACCGTCATCTTTCACTCAACTTCAACCCTTGACTGATCTGGTATCTACATACATGTTACCGTACTTAATCAGGGGACTTTTACCCTCTTTGTTATAGATATAATTCCACCAACACATTCCTTTTTTCGGGGCTGTAACAAAAATAGAGAAACACATTATTATAGAAAGGAATTGGTTTATAAACATTGTACAGAATTCTGGATTTCAGTCTGAACAGGCCAAATAATATGGTTCTGACAATGTAGAACATATAGAGTATACAATCTGGAAATTTCTGCAACCTGACTACAATACCATGTGGTTCTATGGGTAATCAGAGTAGACAGTGCCTTGTACAAAGATAACGCCTGTCATAGTAGTCTAGTCATTTCACTAGTTTATTCATTATTGCATGACTGACTTTTATATTAGGGAGTCTTTTAACAATTGAAACAATAATTAACTTACCAAGTAATTTTTGTGCTGTCCACAGTTGTCCTCGCCGACACCAAATATCTTCAGACATAAAAGCAGCATGCCAGTCACTGATGTGTTGGCAAGGAGTTTGTTTTTTCATTGAATTAATTTGCTGAACTTTCCACCAATTCCAAATTCTGAAATTTGAATATTTCTTGGAAAACTCTGTGGTCCCATCTGACTGGCATGATCTGATAATTTAATATTATGCTCCCAGGCAAATGTATAGCACACATACATCGTATGAACCATCTTCAGATACAGACTCTGTGATCTTCTTTGGTAGTTCTCTATGCCCAGTAAACCATGTCTAGGAATGGTTAAGGCATCTCAGTCAATAACTTGCAAAGTGCCTGTAATCCAAGAATATCCCATCTTCAGCTCTTCCTCTCTATCTGGGCGCCACTGGAAAAGGTTCACTATTAACTTGTATTAATACAATTAACTGCAAACTTAACATTCCAATCCTCCTTGTGTTAGGATAGCTTACAGACTTTTTGCATGCATTATGATTTCTCGACTTTACAGATGAAAAGGACATACATATATTTGCATGTCTTTGCTGTTTGCTGTTTTTATTTATTCAACAAATACTCCATGACATTAGATTTGATAATAAAATCAACAACTGTCTTTTGAACAATCAAAGACATTTAAAAAAAAGTCTTATTTCCCTCAATACAGCATTGTATCATCCTCAATCTCCAGTGAAGTGATAGTAAGTAGTTCATCATCAGGCTAAAACTGTTGGCTTTCCATAGGTAGGTATCATGAATTTCATGTCAGCATCAACTTCTTATTCTTCAAAATTTGTTTTCATCTGTAACTGGTTCACTGATGAAATCGTTCATTTCCTGCAAATCAAATGTGGACCATTTTCAATTTTTAATTTATAGCTATTCACGAAGTCATGCCAGTTATTATTGATGTTTGTGTTAGAATTGCAACAGGACACAGAGAACAAATCTTCTGTTACATTATATTTGTTTTAAGTCTACAATTGTTTTTTCTTAAATTCAACAAAATGTATCTTGCTGTTCAAACTCCAAACGACATTTTCAGGTTTTAGACATGTATCAAAAATGTTCTTACTGAACTCCTTTTTTCAGATTATTTTCTTTGAAAACAATTTTCATAATATTTATTTTCTTTCCAAACAATTCTTATTAAATTTGTTAATACATGATGAAGGAGTAGTATTATAAAATTTGTTACTACATGATGAAGGAGTAGTATTATTAAATTTGTTAATACATGATGAAGGAGTAGTATTATTTAATTTGTTAATACATGATGAAGGAGTAGTATCATTAAATTTGTTAATACATGATGAAGGAGTAATATTATTAAATTTGTTAATACATGATGAAGGAGTAGTATTATTAAATTTGTTAATACACGATGAAGGAGTAGTATTATTAAATTCGTTAATACATGATGAAGGAGTAGTATTATTAAATACCAGTTATATTTCAGATGGAATGGAATATTTTTCAATGAAATGTTAAATAATTTTGTTCTGATCATAGTAAAATTTTGCTACAATAAATCTATCTTGTACATCTGAAAACAAATTCTGGAAATATAAATGACTTTGGATATACTTCAAAAATAAATAATCTAAAAAACACATTCCGTGGTATGTTTTGTTTGAAAACACAATAATTGTTAGAGAATTGTGAGAATTTGTTTTATACAATCCAGTAACCTACCTAAATCTCTTCCACAGGATCAACAGATGGATGTCTGGTTGTAGAAACCTCAAGGAATCAGCATGCATTGGCAAAATGTCCGACTTCCACAAAAAATCACGACGCCAAATATATACAAGACATGTGAACCTTTCGTGCTAAATTAAGGATGTTAGGAACCTTGAAGGAAAATGACAATGATAGCTGATTACCTATGGCCTGCCAGCCTTGTATGATATTGATAAATTTGATATTAATTATATTTAAGAATTTTGGAATATAAAAGGACGGTGAGAAAATGTTGGAAACTTAATTAACTCAGGCCAGTTGTGAGGAATTATGCATCACTTTTGATGTTTAAAATTATCTACTTGAGAGTGGACACTTTACCAGGCCAGGAAATGACCTTAAATTGAAAACAACTTCGATGGCATTGGTCTATCTATATTTAAAAACAAATCATAAAATTATGTATGATTACTCTGTGCAGGAAGCTCAATGTAGGGGAGATAACTGGTTACGAGGCAGGAAAGAGTGGAAACAAACAAGAAAAGATTAAGTTAGATGTTTATGACAAACATTTTACAGAAAATAATTCTTAAAAGTGAGAAAAATTAAATCAGAGTTAAAATAATGTTTAATGCAGTTTCCACAAAGAAAATGTTGCCTTCTTCAACAGTACAGAATCAAGTTTTATATAAATATATCATTAATTAAAGACTGCCTGCCTGTTTCAACAGTACAGGATTAAGTTTTATATACATATATCATTAATTAAAGACTGCCTGTCTGTTTCAACAGTACAGAATAAGTTTTATATAAATATATCATTAATTAAAGACTGCCTGCCTGTTTCAACAGTACAGGATTAAGTTTTATATAAATATATCATTAATTAAAGACTGCCTGTCTGTTTCAACAGTACAGAATCAAGTTTTATATAAATATATCATTAATTAAAGACTGCCTGTCTGTTTCAACAGTACAGAATCAAGTTTTATATAAATATATCATTAATTAAAGACTGCCTGTCTGTTTCAACAGTACAGAATCAAGTTTTATATAAATATATCATTAATTAAAGACTGCCTGTCTGTTTCAACAGTACAGAATCAAGTTTTATATAAATATATCATTAATTAAAGACTGCCTGTCTGTTTCAACAGTACAGAATCAAGTTTTATATAAATATATCATTAATTAAAGACTGCCTGTCTGTTTCAACAGTACAGAATCAAGTTTTATATAAATATATCATTAATTAAAGACTGCCTGTCTGTTTCAACAGTACAGAATCAAGTTTTATATAAATATATCATTAATTAAAGACTGCCTGTCTGTTTCAACAGTACAGAATCAAGTTTTATATAAATATATCATTAATTAAAGACTGCCTGTCTGTTTCAACAGTACAGAATCAAGTTTTATATAAATATATCATTAATTAAAGACTGCCTGTCTGTTTCAACAGTACAGAATCAAGTTTTATATAAATATATCATTAATTAAAGACTGCCTGTCTGTTTCAACAGTACAGAATCAAGTTTTATATAAATATATCATTAATTAAAGACTGCCTGTCTGTTTCAACAGTACAGAATCAAGTTTTATATAAATATATCATTAATTAAAGACTGCCTGTCTGTTTCAACAGTACAGAATCAAGTTTTATATAAATATATCATTAATTAAAGACTGCCTGTCTGTTTCAACAGTACAGAATCAAGTTTTATATAAATATATCATTAATTAAAGACTGCCTGCCTGTTTCAACAGTACAGAATCAAGTTTTATATAAATATATCATTAATTAAAGACTGCCTGTCTGTTTCAACAGTACAGAATCAAGTTTTATATAAATATATCATTAATTAAAGACTGCCTGTCTGTTTCAACAGTACAGAATCAAGTTTTATATAAATATATCATTAATTAAAGACTGCCTGTTTCAACAGTACAGAATCAAGTTTTATATAAATATATCTTTAATTAAAGACTGCCTGTCTGTTTCAACAGTACAGAATCAAGTTTTATATAAATATATCATTAATTAAAGACTGCCTGCCTGTTTCAACAGTACAGGATTAAGTTTTATATAAATATATCATTAATTATAGACTGCCTGCCTGTATCAACAGTACAGAATCAAGTTTTATATAAATATATCATTAATTAAAGACTGCCTGCCTGTATGAAAAACTGTGTGCTACCATTAAACATTATGACAGGATGATCAAGTGTTATTACACATTACACACAAATATGAAATACTGTGTGCTACCATTAAATATTATGACAGGATGATAAAGTGTTATTACACATTACACACTAATATGAAATACTGTGTGCTACCATTAAACATTATGACAGGATGATAAAGTGTTATTACACATTTTTAACACAAACAGTCTCATTCCAATTGTGTTTTGAGTTGAAGCGTAATAATAACAGTGATATAGCTATAAGGTATTTTTGAATATCAGTGATAGTTTATGACATTGATTCACAATGGGTAAAGGTCAGGTGACTTTGATTACCTGGGTTCAAATTTTGTATCCATGCAATTTCTGGTAGCCTTTGATTTCAGCAAATATAATGTTTTTGTGTTAAGAATTTCATAACAGTATAACATATGTAACCTATGAAAAGGAAATAACTTCTGTCTTGACAAGGGGAGAAATAAAATACACTTCCACTAATAGACCTTAACCGATCACTGTTTAATACACACCGTCCTCGTCCACCTTATTGTCATCCGTCCGAGCTTCGTCCTCTTTGGGGTCGTTGGGAGAGAACAACAGGTCAGACTTCCGAGCAACGAACCGACGTAGTTTCTGCTGGAAGTCATCCTCTCTGTAACAATGTATTCTTACTTGAACTTGTTAAGTACTTTTATTGTATTCGTCAGTAATTAACTGAGGGATGAAATATACCTGTATCAGCTAGCAAGATGAAATATACCTGTATCAGCTAGCAAGATGAAATGTACCTGTATCAGCTAGCAAGATGAAATAAACCTGTATCAGCTAGCAAGATGAAATGTACCTGTATCAGCTAGCAAGATGAAATAAACCTGTATCAGCTAGCAAGATGAAAT